CACCCTTGGAAATTGCAAACAGCCTGGCCTCCATCCACGCGTGTGAGGCAGGAGAGACAGTAGGGGGTAGTGTACACAAGCACAGGATTTGGGCCTGAGTTCCTCAACCTCCTTCAGTCAGCTGCTACCTCTATGCCTCCTGTAACCTCCAGGGCCTCCGTTTCTCATTCTGTGGCATGGGGACAACACTGATGTTAAGACCTCTCCTTCCTTCTCCTCCAGCAAACAGCCACTGTGCACCCACCCTATGTTGGGCACTGGGGCATGAAATGCAGACCACGACAGAGGGACTTCTGTCTTCTGGGGTCTTCCAGACAAAGGAGGTGTACCGACCACCAGACAATGACGGTAGTGTGAGGAGCCCACTGTGAGAAGAGCTCAGGTGGGACAGCCTGCAGGGAGTTAGCCAGATAAGACGGAACAACGTCGCAGGCAGAAGGGGCAGTGAAGTCCCAGCATGTGTGCAGCACAGTGACGGCCGTGCGGCTAGAGCTCTGGCGGCGCATCGTACGGGACATTGTAAACCGAGCCTAGACATTTGTACTTCACCCAAGCACAGCGGGCCGAGTTGTTGTCTGCTCTGCAGCTGTGTGGCTGTGGACACACATTGAAAAGCTGGTGACTGTGGTTGCTGTGACATTCTTTGGGCACCCCTAGGTTTCCTGTTGCTATGAGAGATGCTCAATGCCCCCTTCACATGTCGCTGAGAACCAGATAAGACAGGCCTCCTTCGAAGAACAAAAGTGCTGAATGTTAGAGAAAAAACAGGAAAAAGTGTAAGTGTAAGAGGCAGAGTGTAAGAGGCACTGGAAAACACGGGAAGGGGTTTGAATTCCAAGGCATTTGCGTGCTGGGGAAGCTTTGCTGGGGGCTGGACTTGTGCTCGCAGGAGGCAGAAGGGGCCTGGGGCAGAGGTGGGGACCGGAGAGGACTCTGTGCTCACGTGGGCGATGACAGAAAGCTTGGCCTGGGTGATGGGCAGCACCAGATTAGAAGGGAAAGAGACCAGAAAGCGGGCACTGGATGGGGAGGTGGTGGCTCTGCCTGGTTCAGGGAATGACACCTCAGATGGTCCAGGATTTAGGGGGAGAGGGAGAGGATGGAGGTCTTAGTGAGCATCTACTGTGTGCCCGGCCTTGAGGTGAGTGTGTCCACATGCTCTGCAGCTCACAGGACACTCCATCTCCTCTCGAGCACGCACAGTGAGTGTAAGCCCGTGGGGGCAGGGCCAGTGTCCGTCTTGTGCCGCTGTATCCCCGATACCTAGTGCAAAGTATTAGGTGCTCCACAATGATTTTGAATGATCCAACTTTCTTTTCTTTTCCTCTCCCCTCCTTCCCTTCCTCCTTCTTTTTCTTCCTTCCTTTCTTTCTTCCTCCCTTGTTCCAAGACAAGGTGAGAAATCTCATTTAATCCTTCCAATAGCAGAAAGTTAGGTTAAAGTGTTGGGAGCTTATCCTGAAAACAGTGAGGAAAGTTGTGCCAGGTCCAGCTGGCAGCAGATTTTACAACGAAGGAACTAAGGCTCAGGAGCACTAAGTTACTTGCCCAAGGTCACACAGCTAAAAGCTGATGGGGCTGAGATCTGACCCTGTTATCTCTGAGTCCATAACATGCTTCCTCCCTAAGTGAGGGAACTCAGATGTCCCCAAAGTGGACAAAGCTAGACCAGTATTTCTGCAGCTGTGCAATGCTGGGCAAATGACTTCTCCCCTAAGAGTTTCTGTGTCCAATTGACACCGGCTTAACACAAGGTTGACATAAGAGAAGCCATAATGTAGAAAAGAAACCATATTGTAACTTTGAATGACCTCTGATTCACTAACCCAGACATGCTCTGTAGATTTTATGGCCCCTCCTAGCTGCGATAAGTTGATAACTTTGTTCTTTTGAGTTCCTTAGGAATGTGATGACCCCCGGGCAGAGAGTCTATGCTGATAGTCATCATCAAGGACAATTAAAACATCAGGGTACTGGGCATTGCTCTAGTCTCTGATGCATATCAAGTAAAACCAAAGACTATCAGGAACTAAGACCAGATGTCTGCCCCCACCCAGAGACCAGCTGCCTCCCCCACCTGGAGACCAGCCCCCTATATAACTGGCCTGTAGTCTTTGTTCTGTAAGATAGTTCTTTCCGACATTGGTCGGGCATCTTCCCCCTTGCTAGCAAGCTGTAATAAAGTTCTTTCTCTCCTACCTCCTTGCTTCTCGACCATTGGCATGACTTGAGACAGGCAGACCACCCCCTCTTGGGTGGCAAAACTAGTCTGTAAGGATCAGGCTGAAATGTAACTGGAGAGCAAGCAGGCCAGGGCAGGCTTCAGTCCATTCAGGCCAGCAGGGCCAAGGCAAGAGGTCTGGGACCCCCCGGACCCCCCTAGAGGAGATGATCTTAAGATAAATCCACACCGGCTGAGCTCTGTCTGGTCTCTACCCGTCCTCAGTAAATTGGAACCCATTTCATAAAAGATGACTAATAAGAAAACCTTTCTCCTAGCACTTCCTGGTTCTCAAATTTCTAAGAAAATGGTTGTTCACGTGAATAACTAGCTCAGGGTTTATGCTGAGAGCATCTCTTGTCCATCGATCCATCCTATGCCGTTCTGACCCATCTCGTTCAACTCCACACATATTTTACTGAGTTATTACTTGGGCCTCACTGTTGTGCCATGGTTCCTTCAGGCGCTGAAGGAGCCGGGAAGGGGAAGGCATGACTAAGCCTTTCTGTTCCCTCTTTTCCTGTCCTGGGCTCGCCGTGGGCACAGTGATGGGGAGGAGGGGAAGTCAGTTGCTGGAGGGGCATCCCCATCCCCTTCTTGAGTGGGCCGCGCAGCATCCCCAGGGGAAGGGCAAGAGTGAAGAATTTCCTGGGCGGCCACATCGCCCCTCTCTGTGTCCCAAGAGAGTCCGAAGGACCTCCAGTTACATTTGGCCATTGACCACATACCTTTATCTCCTTCCTCTCCTGGGAACCCACTAGAACGATAATAAAGGAATAAAAATGTATCAATCTACAAGGACAAAGAGAATAGGAGAGTGACAACAGCGGGTTAGTGATTTCAACTTCTTCAAGTACTTTTCAGGTGGGAGGAAGCAACTGGTGGGATGAAAGCAATGGATGGGGCGGAGCAGCTGTTAGCTGGGCTCCTTGTGTGTTGTTGAAAGTGTGCGCTCAGAGGGGGCCACACGTGTGGGTCAGATGACCTGATCACCACCCCATCTCTGCTGTGAATTCTCAGCACGACCTTGGCAAAGGCAGTTTCCTTTTTCTGAGACTCCTTTTTTCCCATCTGTACGATGAAGAGCATATACTGGACAGGTGATTCTCATCTTCTGGAGCCCAAATTACCTGGAGTTTTTTCCCCTAATATGTATAGGCATGTATGTTTTGATTCTGATTCTGAAATGGGCCAAGACATTCGCAGTTTTTCAAAAGCTCTCCCAGGAAACTTTAAGAGCCACTGTTGTGGGTGGTCTTCAAGGGCCCTTTCAACTCGGACGTGCCAGGACTCCCACTCAGGTGTTAGTTGGGGGAATACACTGCATGGAGGGCTTGCAGAAATACAAGACCTGCATGTGGGAGACCCAGGCACAGAGGGGCTTCGGAGGAGGCTGAATGCCTGTCTGCTGCGGATAGCAGAAGGGTCTTTGTGGAGACAACGGCATTTGAAGTGGGTGGAAAGTTCACAGAGGGAGACAGGGAGGAGGGCTCTGCCGGTGGAGGTTACAGTGGGAGCAAAATCCCGGAGATAGGAAAGCATGAGGCATGTTCACGGAATTGCAAATATTCAAACATGCAGGAATCCACGGAGACGTAACATGAGGAGCCACAAATGTCCAGGTGAGCAGCTTGTGCGTCACGCAATTGGCAATGGGAAGCCACCTAGGATTTTGAGCTAGAGAATGCATGATCAAAGTCGATCAGCCTAGCCAACCTTCTAAGGTTGTATAATGCACGTGGGCCTCATGATCTGAACACACAGGATTCGGCCCAGCTATTTTCCTTGAGCACCTACTATGTGCTACTTATGCCAAGTACTGCACACAATGTCTTCATGACTGGCCACTCTGTACCTGTACAGTCACATCTCTCTCCAGCCACTTCCTCCTTCCTGTTGCTCTCCTTATACCCCACACTCCAGCGCTCTCTGACAACTCGGAGTGAATGTGCTCCTTCCTGCGTCGCTGTCCCCATGCAAGCCCCTTCCTCTACTGCCGTGCACTTTCCACTTCAGCCCTTCCGGAGGAGACTCTGCTTGAAGAACATTCCCCTGGGAGGCTTCTCTGATGGCTGTGGGCAGCTCCCATCCTCCTCTGTGCCCTCCATATGGCACATCTCCTGCTGTCCATACAATGGGTGGCTTTTACTTGTTTATCTGTGAGTTGAAGGACAGTGGCTCGAGATCAGTGCATCTCATTGGTCTTCCCTGGGGCTAACCAAGGACCTAGAACAATGCAAGCTGCTGAAAAGTGCGGAGTGATTTGGAAAAACAGAAATAGCATAATATCTGGGCCAGGCATTGACAGAGCAGATTGCACACCCAGGAGATACACTATTTCCATTTTGCAGTGGATACCTGACTCGGGCAAGTTTATGCAACTGCTAATTTGCAGAACTGGGATTCTGGGATTCAAACAGGTGTGGCTCAGTCCTGGTCCAGAGCTCTTCTGCTGTGTTCCGGGGACAGTAGCTCCATCCCTGGATGGAAAGGCGTGGGGTTAGAGAAGCCACAAACAGGCCACTTCCTCTCACTCACCTTTCTCCACTTCCCACTCAGTCGGGACGGCTCCTACTCATTTTCTCCAGATCCTTATCTGCTCCTGCACTCGGACAAGTTTCCTCACACCTCGCACACCACCCAGGAGAGGTGGGGAAAGGAGTTTTCCATGTGGTCACTGAGTAACTCTTCTCCTTGTGACTTCCCCGCCTCTGCACCAGGGCCTGGGAAACCCCACCCAGGTCATCTAATAAAAGCTCTGGGCACCGCAGGATGGGCCAGGGGAGAGCTCTTAGCTTCACCAGACACTTGGAGACCACTCCAGGGAGGCCTGCGCCAGACTGCCCGAGATGAAGCTCATCACCATGGCCCTGGTGTGCCTGCTGCTGGCCGGGATGTGGCTGCCGGACGTGGACAGCAAGAGCAGTGAGTGTGGCTGGGGTCACTTTGCATCCCCGTGGGGAGGGCAGAAATGAGGCAGGCGCTCTGGGGTTGGGGGCAGGGCTCACCCTGAACTCACCACCTCCATTTGCCCTCCTCCAGGAAGAATTCTTCCTGATGAGGATTGGAGGGTTTGGATGGTGGGGGCCGGGGGCCAGTAGGAGAACCATGCGATTGGGGCAAACAGACAGCTGGGCTGCTAGCTTCAGCAAAAGGAGGCCCTGGCTCATGCAGACTCTGCACACTGCTAGAGGGGAGCTGTGAGGTTATTCAGGCCGAGCTGTGAGGCCCGAGGTCCAGAGGAGGAACTTGGTCTTGCCTCCATAGCGTAACAAGTAATGGGAGGAATCTGAGGTCAGGACTCAGGGCTGTAACAGTTGGCTAACCCCAGGCAAGTCACTTTACCTCTCAAACTCCGGTTTCTCCATCAGTGAAATGGGTTTGATAATGCCTACCCTCCGAGGCTGCTGAGAGAATACTGACCTAACACCAGACACACGGAAGTGGCTTTATAAACAGTACAGCTAGGAGGAAGGAGCCAGGATTGGAATGCCAGTCTCTTGGGGGTGGGGGCTGGGAGGGAGTGTACAAACTGGCAGAGTGCGGCTTGGGGCCAGGACTGAACTGAGGACCCGGGGAGGAGGGCATCCTGGAGAGTGAGTGGGGAGCTAGTTAGTTCCTGGAAGCTCTTCCCTTGTCATTTCTTCTGTCTGAACTCCTTGAACTCCTAACCCTGCCCCAAACGCATGGACCGCAGTTGTCCTGCATGCACCCAGAGCATGGGGTCCAGAGCCCTTGAACCCCAATATTGGGGCAGAACCATACATTCGTGGTAGGGTGTCAGACCTGGAAGAGCCTTTAGAAATCAGTCTAAGAAGTCTTTTTCTACAGATGGGAAGTCTAGGGCCCAGGTGAGGGCTCATCTCGATCAAGGCCACACAGTTGGTTTGTAGGGAGCTGGGATCTGCATCCCAGCGTCCTGACTCTTTGCCTAAATACAGAACCAGGTGGCCAATAAGACAGACCTGCACCACGGCCCTCTAGATGTCATCCTAAAGCCTGGGTCTGTCCTGGAAGGGGCTTTTTTTTTATTCTTCCTGGATGAGAGGAATGAAGTCTAGGTTGAGAAATGGATGCAAACCACGTTTGTGCTTCTCTTCTAGTGCACGTGTCATCCTCCAATTGTTGCTTTATATTTGTGAAGAAAAAGATTTCCCAGCAGAAAATCCAGTGTTACAGAGACACCAGCTCTACCTGCTCCTACAAAGACGGTGTTATGTGAGTGGTTGTCCCCTGATCAATCCCTGACTTCCTGCCCGGAGAGCAGAAACCAGCCCACCTGGAGTTAGAATATCAGACGCTAGATGGCAATGTTCCACCAGATTAAGGTTTCTAGACCCGGATGGCGAGGCCGCCAAAACCTGGATGCAGAGCCGAGCGTGGGCGCTAGGGGGTGTGCCGCGCTTTCTAGCAGGTGCTTCTGCAGTGGTTTGGGTTTCTTGAGCGCCGAGATGTCAAGTATTATATCCTAATATTTTATGCCCAGAGGCAGGAATTGCTTAAAAGCTCCAAGCATTACTGCGTAATGGAAAGAATGAAGGGGTCACGATTAGTTCCTGCCTCTGGATTTGCCAACCTATAGTCTTGGTGACCTTGGGCAGGTAACTCTTCTGCACTTCATTATCTGGGTGCTCCTTTGCACTCCTTACCTGGGAAGTGCAGTAAATATGACAGCTGCATCACAGGGTCATCATGAGGCTGGACTGAGGTAGCTTACACTTGCCACTCAGTGTCTATGAGTCACTTTCATGTATATTATCTCCGCTAACACTCTTGGGGCACACATTTTCCTTATCATGAAAACTGGGGTTCAGGGAGGTAGAGAGATTTACCTAAGGTCACTCAGATAGTAAAGGGCAGAATGGGTCTATAGTTTGGACAATAGCCAAGTTTAGGAGGCGGGCAGATCTGAAAAGAAACACACACACACACATACACATAGACACACACGCACACACGTACATACACACACAACGAGTCCAAAACAATGACTGAGGGTCCCAGATGGACACAAACGCATGAAGATATGGAGCAGGGGTCCCTTGGAGATATTCTAGGAGGAGAATTTTCCGTGCTAGCTAATCCTCAGAATGTCTTCAGCCTCCGGCCCTACTCTGATACACCGAACTATAATCTCCAGGAAAGGGGTCCAAGAAACACAATTTAATAAGCTGCCCCTGAAGCTTGGGTGTTGATCCCGGTGTGTGAGCCACAGGTCTTATCAACGACTTCATATACAGACTCAGAGGGAGCAGGTTAGGGGCACCCAGCAGCAAGGAGGGGGAGATGGGACTTGTGTGTGGCACCCAGGGAGTGACTAGGTGACTCATTCCATCTTTTGTTCTCTTCCCACAGATTCAAGATGAAGGGAGGCAGAAAGAGCTGTGTCTTGAAGACAGACTCATGGGTTAAGGATTATTTAAAAAGTATGAAACGCTGCCCATCAAAGGAAGTATGAGAGGATTCCTTTCCATCCTGGACTCGGAGACCACGTGGCTTCCCCTGTCTCCCACCCCCAACCCTACACCAGTCCTTCTTCCCCATCTTTGTTGGGTCATGGAGGATCTGCGGGTCCTGATAAGCTATGTTGTCGCACTTTATGCATTTAAATTCTAGAATTTTCAACTCCTGCTCCCTTGTGCCTCTTGGACCCCACAGGGATTTCAGGGTACAAACTTGATTGGATTGAGGGGCTGGGGGCTGGGGCAAGGGGCTGAAAGGTGGGGGAGAGGAGGAGATACATTGGGCCTGGTGCCAGGAGAACTGACTTCGTGTCATAGGAGCCAATAAATGACTTACACCTGTCTGCTGACTGTCTTTGTCTAGGGGGGCAGTGTTGACTCGGGGCTGTGATGTAGTTCTCTGCCTCCAGGTTTGGCAGTGGGAGAAGGCTGGGACCCAGGGCTGGGTCCACATTTGAGGGCGGGATGGTCTCCCTCCCTGCCCTGCCCAGATGGTTCAGGGGCTGATGTTATCCGAGAGTCACAGCTGCCCTAGCTGGAGGAGATCTTGTGGGGTCATCTGCCTGTAACACATTGCTAGCCCCATTTTATAGATCAGGTAACTGAGGGCTGGAGAGGGTCGTGGGCAGGTCTGAGGATACACAGCAAGTCAGAGTCAGATCTGGTGTTAGAGCCCAGATCTCCTGCCTCCCAGGCCAGAACTCTTTCCCGTCTCCCAAGTTTCCAAGTGACTGCCTGGCACAATATGACACAGGAACCCTCTCTCCACCAGACAGACCCTGCAGCGTCGGGTAGCAGAGCCTTCTTGGGGAGGGTCCAGGCATGGGTGGATCCAGGTCTGATAGAGATGCCAACACAGCTCATCCAGAGGAGGGCGGCAGTCTCAGGAAGGGCCGGAGAATCCTCAGTGGATGCAGAGGAAGAAGAAGCCCTATCCCTTTAAAGGGGACAATCACGAGGTCCGATTCGAGTAATGTGTGAGTCTTGGGAGAATAGTAAGGGGGGGCAGTGAGTTCTGGGTGTCAGGACTGGCCCCGATTTAAAGGCCGGCTTGGTGGCTTTAGGGGAGAAGCTCTCATGTGCTATGTCCCAGAGCTTTTCCCTCTTTCCCCAGCATTCAACATGTCACAGTCTGGGCAGTTCTTCTTAAACTTCCTCCTCCCCTCCGCCTTCCTGACCACTCTGCTGGCCTGTTCCCTCTTGCCTGCACCATGGCCGTAGGCTGCTCTCAGTTCTCCTTCAGCAACTCCGTCCCGTCCACAACCATCGGCTGCTCTTCCTGGCCTCCCCTGCCCTCCCAGGGGCTCCAAAGCCTTCGGGACCTCCTTCCTGCCTTCAGAAATGGCTCCAAACTCCCTACCTTGATATTCCAATTCCTCTATAACCACGCTTCAACCTTCCTTTCTAAACATCTCTAACTTGTCCATTCTGGAACCCAAACTCTGACCATATGATGATATTCCCTCCCTGCTCCCTCTCCCCTCTTCTCTATTCTGCATCTCCTCTAGAAAAATCTTGCTATGACCGTGCTACGCCACCCTCCAAGGTCGGTTCTGCTAAGTCCCATCTTCTCTGTCAAGTCCGATGCTAATGAGGACTGGGGTCATCTGATTTTCCCCTGGGATTCAGGTGCATTCAGTGTCTGTGTTACTTCAGTGTGGAGGCCTGCCTGGTGTGAGGAGGCACAGGGACAGAGAGACCTGTCAGAAGCTAATGCTGGGGACTGGAGCTGTTGTTCTGGAATATCTTGGGCAGGTGAGCAGGCCCTCCCTGTCATCAGATGAGTCCAGGCTCGTCACGGGCAGGGTCTCTGCTACATCCGCATTCCTCTAGTGCCTCTGCCATCCACCTGTACCTCAGGGTGCCCTCTACTGGTTAACAGTTACCCCCAAAGAAAATGCCACTGTTACAGATTTTAAGCAAAATGTATTGGGGCTGGCTCGGTGGTGCAAGCGGTTAAGTGCGCACACTCTGCTGCGGCTGCCCGAGGTTTGCCGGTTCGGATCCCAGGCGTGCACCGATGCACTGCTTGTCAAGCCACGCTGTGGCGGCATCCCATATAAAGTGGAGGAAGATGAAGCGCGGATGTTAGCCCAGGGCCTGTCTTCCTCAGCAAAAAAAAAAAAAAAAGAGGAGGATTGGCAGATGTTAGCTCAGGGCTGATCTTCCTCACACACACAAAAAATGTATGTTCTGCAAAAAGTCAGCAGTCCTACAGTTGCATTCATCTTTCCATCATAACATATTCAACACCTCGCATTCACCAGACACTCTCCTCCCTTGATTGTAGGGGCCCTTCATCTCCACGATTCTCGCAGGCATGCACACAACCCTTGAGGAGTTAGACAGGAGGGAGACCTGCTGCCTATAGCTTATAGGAGAAGGAACCAACCGTCTCAAGGCCTTGCTTTACCAAAAAGATCACCAATGTTCAAAATAAACCCCAAACCAGCAACAATTCAAATAACATTAAAGACATAGTACATTTTGCATCACAAAACAGAAAGCACCCTATCTGAAAATTACAGTAAAATTAGTCCAGAGTATAGATAGTGGGGCTGGAGGAGAACAAATATTTGTTTCTTACACTCTGGCTTGGCTGGAAGAGTTCAAGTCTTCTGCGTCAGAGATTTTTGATCCAGGCGTTTCACATAAGTCTGGACCCACTTCTCCTTGGGGTCGGCACAGATGTCCTTGGCCAGTTTGGTTCTGAAGCTGTGGATGAAGGAGTGTTGGCACAGTTAGATGAAACACTTGAGGGTTTTATCCACGAGATGACTCATCGGACTCTAAAACCTGCTTGGCCCGCCTGCTCAGGTGAGGCAGCGCCCTGGGACACGAGGAGGGAGGGGTGTGGAAAGAAGGGGCCTCTGCAGGTAGTCGCTGTTTTTGTCTCCCCAGGAGAAGCTGGCCTGGCACCCGCCAAAGCAACTGTGAGGGTGTGAGCTGGCGCCCATTCAGGGAGCAGGGTGTGGAGCGTTATCTGCCCTCTCTGGGTCTGTTTATAATGTAATAATAGGAGGATTTGGATTACGTAGTCTGGTTAGATCTTATGATCTGGGGGATGTGGGAGTGGGGTGGGGTGAGGTGGGGGCAAGGTGAAGATTTTTCTACCCACATGATGGCTTCCTGGGGACACTGGCTGCTGGTGATTCGATAGCTCTTCAGCCTCTGCAAGGGGATCTTCTTATTGTTAAATGTGAAACAGCAAGTGGACAGGGCATTGAGGGCATCTAGAAACAAATAAGTCACAAAGACACAGCCTTTTGGGAGGTGCTAGGTTTTTCTCAGCTTGAATGCAGCAGGAAGTGTTGGTAGCAGAAGGAGACCAAAGAGGGAGAAGTAGGTCTTATCCACTCCAGGTCCTGGGCTCTGGCCCTAGGCCCGAGGCGGGGTGGACCTGGAACATGTAGCTCACAATTTTGAAGTCAGTTCTCTCTGCTGCACGGTGGGGACGCGTCATTGCTGACCGGGGGAGGCCAATGTGACAGGTCCTGGCTATCACCCCCAAACTGCAGAGTTTGGGAAGACCAGCTGGGGTCCAACAAAAGGCCCTGGGTTTGGAGTGGACAGCTAAGGTTTTATTCTGGCCCTGCCGTGGCCTGGAGGTGGGGGTGAGGAGGACTTTTCCTGTCCCAACCTGGGCTTCTGCTTTCTGTCTTTAAAATTAGATGTAAAATGAAGCTTTGAGGACCTGTGATTCTCTGATAGGCTGGGAAGTGAGACACTGTGGCTCAGGGCTTCCTAGAAGAAGACAAGAACAGATGGAGAGAAAGGGAGGGAAGGAGCGAGAGAGAGGGAGCTTACCCGGCTGAGCCAGCAACTGGGTGCTGAAGGCAGCTGCTGTGAGCAGCAGCCACAGGAGAGCTGTGGAGACCTTCATGCTGGAGGGTGAGGACACGAGCTTCAGTGTGAGAGAGAGTTGCAGTTTCTGGGCTTGTCTCAGCTTATCTGCTGCTCTGGCTGCTTTGCCTGCCTTTTATAGGAAACACAGAAGGTGGGGGCTCCCAGAGGGATCTTTGCCTGGGAAGGGTCGGGTCAAGTTAAGCTGAAGGGAGGGTCCTCAATCTGCTGAGCTGGAGGCTGGGCTGCCAAAGAGTTTTCCAGGAAACTAAGACAGAAGCTGTAGGCTGCAGCTTCTGTAGCTAGGCACTGTTTCCTTCCAGCTGCCCAGGCCACATTAAGAGAGCACAGATGTGCTGGCACTCATCAAAGAAAGTGAGCCAAGGAGCTGTTCCATGGCCTGGCTTTCTCCAAAATGAAAAAGGAGGCAATGAAAAATAACTCTTAGGTATTTAGTCCTGAGGAGGTATATACCATTATCATCAGGCCCACTTACAGAGGAGGACACTGAGGGTCCGAGAGCTTAAATAGCTTAATAACTTAAAGTCTCATGGGAAGTGAGTGGTGATGCTGGAATAAAAAGCTAGACTACTTACATATAATCACCAAGGCAGTTTCAAGCTTTGATTTAGCTGCAGAAGTCTTTTTCTAAGCCAAGTTTTATGTGGAAGTCCCATACTTGAGACAAATCAAAGCCAGCCTCTGGCGACAGGGGTCCCTCACATCACATATTGGTGCCCCTTTCTGCCACTCAGGCCCAGAGGGATATGGTTTGAAAACCACTGATTTGTCCAGGCCCCTTGTTTTTAGGAAGGCCCACTGGTTTTCCAGAGCTGTTGACCTGAGAGGGTTGGGGAGCCGAGCAAAGCAGTGGGCTCTCTGCTCCTGTGCCTGGCTCCCTCCTGCAAGAGGTGTGTACTTGAGCTCAGAGCTATGATGAAGTGCCACCAGGGGCACGGCGGAAGGGAGGGGACAGCTTGGACTCTGATAGGAAACCTGACAGGGTCCTTTGCCTGAGTGTCCCCATTCCACATGTTCCCTCCTGGATCCCAGATTTTGCTTACTTTTTGCAGTTACCTAGAATACTCTCCCCCCAACTTTTCATTCTTGTGAGTCTTTCCACTCTAGCAAAACAAGCCCAGTGAGAGTAAAAGAAAGGAAATGAAGAGCTAAGATTGGGCGGGCCCCTCGGCTTAGTGGTTAAGTGCGCGTGCTCCGCTGCTGGCGGCCCGGGTTCAGATCCCAGGCGCGCACTGATGCACTGCTTCTCCGGCCATGCTGAGGCCGCGTCCCACATGCAGCAACTAGAAGGATGTGCAACTATGACATACAACTATCCACTGGGGCTTTGGAGGAAAAAAAGGAGGGGGATTGGCAATACATGTTAGCTCAGAGCCGGTCT